GAGAAATACGATTTTCTTCTCAGCCGTCGGCACTTCCGCTCTTGGTGGACGTTCCTCCATAAACTTATAGATGAAATTATCAGGGAAACCATTTTCTTGTAAGGTATTTTTAAGGAATGAGAGTTTGTCCTCCAGTGTCTCTGGAGAACATATTCTCCTAGCTCTTTTCGTGAGGCAGCGGACTAGGCCTCGTTTCTGACCTAGTGGCACAAAACTGTAGAAATGAGTGTATTGCCCTGTCCACGTTTTCTTACGAAATACACTTCTAATTATTGATCCATCAGACCTTCTACTAAGAAGCACGTCCAGAAAGGAGAGGCACTGTGTGTCCTCTTTTTCCAAACTGAAGGTTAACGCTGAGTGCACCTGATTCACTTAATCTAAGAATGTGTCAAGCTCAAGTATTCCGTCTGCTATTATAAATATAGCATCTACATAGCGAGCATAGGATGGAAGGTCTTCTATAATGGGAGAAAGTTTGTTACTCTCCATTGTTCCCATGAAGATATCCGCTAATAGAGGTCCAACCGGTGATTCCATCGTTTCCCCATCGATTTGGCAATAAAATTGGCCACTAAAGCTGAATTTGAAGTTTAAAGTGCAGCTTAAGAGTAATTGCTTCATGTCTCCGATCGGCAAGCCGATTGGGAACTCCTGTTTAACAATCTTATCACACAAAAAATCAATGGTTTCTGTGGGGGGGAATACTGGTGAACAGTAAATCGACATCTAAGGATAACATCGTTTTCCTGTTGAGATGAGTTTTCCTTATGGTCTCGACGAATTCAAACGTGTTTCGTAGGCTATGCGGTGCTATTTAGTGCCGAATCGGTTTCAACTTTTCTGCCAGCCACTTTGCAATTGCATGATATGGTGAGCTGCACATATAAATTATTGGCCGCATTGGAACGTCTGGTTTGTGAATCTTTGGCAACCCGTAGAGCTTTGGGGGGACTGTGCCTGTGGGTTTTAGCGCTTCTAACTCTTGTTCACTAAGAAAACCTCGGTCTTTCAGTTTCCGAAGACAATTAGTGAGTTGCGTTTCTAGGCTCTCCTTTCTAGGCTTTTTCTTTTGAACTTACTTTCGTCAACCAGGATTTATTCAATCGTTAAGATGTAAATACGTTTACTCAAAAGAACGACACCAGAACCTTTGCTCGGTTTAATTATGAATATGTCAGTATTTTGGCGCAAAACTTTGAGTTTCTCCAGATACTCTTTCGTGATGTGTCCAATACTAAGAGGTTTAGTTCTAAGATATTGATAGCAACAATTAACGAGTGTCGATTTGAAATACTCTGCCTCCTCTGGCGTTACAGGTACTAGGTCATGTGTCTGACTAAAGAGATTTTCAAATTGCACTTCTGCCCCTAATCTTTTCGGTCTTCTATTAGGAAGACAAAATGTGTGGCCTAGGGATAGTACTTCCAGCAGGTGTTTGTCGAGCGTCATGTTAGTAAAATTATGTACGTACCGCTCCGGATCATTTGGGAATGAGGACTGAGCCTCCGCCGGATTGATACTGTGGATCAGTTTTGTCCGTTTTACTTCCATACGTCGTTGATTCACAGTCTGTACGTAGCTGCTGAAGTTCATTCTTTCTTCATCGTATAAGTCATCCAGCACTGCTATTCGTTGATTAAGATTTCGGTTTAGCTCCTTGATCTTAATTGCGACACCCTCAAGTCTATTCTCGGCATATCTTTTTAAAGTTGTGTTCGAGATTATCGTCCGACTCGTCCAGTATTCGTGAGGATATTCACGTTTGACTGTGCAGTTTTTGATGAAAAGCCACATATGAGCACGAAATTTTAAACTTTAATAGTGGCAACGTGACAACAATAAAGGAAAATGAAGAAAATCCTACATTCATGCATTCCTTTCCACATATGCGTGCAGTGATGCGGGGATGCTTCTCGATCAGTGCGGAAGTCAAGCGTCCCGCTGTGTCTTAGGGGTCTCTCTCCCTTCCCACCAGCAGCCACACTGCAATATGAATTGTAGGCAGAGGTTGTCATTGAAGACTCCCTGCCCTGGTCCGCAATTTTCGTCTTTCCTAATACTAGCAACAGTGCGGCTTCTAACGGGGCTCAATACGTTAAAACAAAGAGGGTTTAATTGTAAGGTGAATCGTAGACATACAAATAATTTACTGATCGTGCAATGTAAATAATTGGTAGATGATGAGCGAAGGAAGCATGCTCGGCAAATATAGATAATTAAGCAAATAAGTTGGTTCGCGTTGACGTAATCTTCAAAAGTAAAAGGAAGAAGATTGAGATAATCACCTTGCTTAAATCAAGACAGACATCCCTCCCATGGTGATTGCTGGCTCCTTTTCTCTTCCTTATTCGCCATATCCTCCATGCAATTGGACAATTAAACGTGACACAGTGCACAGGCTTTAGCATGCTATCCGATTTCCTTTCAGTATAATTTATGAGCATACAGCGAAGCTTATTTCAAGACTCATTAAACAAGCATCTGTATTACATTTAAAAAAGTAAATCTTAATCTAATACCATCAATATAATGACGACATATGTGCTTTCCGTATAGACAAAGAATGAAGAAACTCAATGAAACAAGAGCCGCATTTGGATGGGAGTTTGATCCATAACTGATATATATATATATATATATATATATATCACACAAGGTCAAAATCGGATAACACGGGATCGGGTGTGAAGGTTCGCCGGCTTCACGCTGACTTTACGGCCATTCAGAAAGTGACAGACTTTCAGAAGGTCACCCTCAAACGCCTCCGTGTCTGCGAAGGTGACGAAGCCGAACCCACGGGACTCGCCGGTGACCTTGTCAGTTATTACCACAGCCTTGGTAATAGGGCCGAATTTGGCGAAGTATCCCACGAGGTCAGCCGCAGTGGTCGTTGGTGCGAGCTGACCCACAGATATGTCATCGTATTAGAAGCTATCTGGGAGGCTCGCTCGTTGATAGTAGTGTTGGCCCTGTAATGTAGAAAAAGATATTTCAATAAGATGGTCATTTTTTATTCCACCGGAAATCTGAAAGAACCCGATTGAATGACCTCGGAAAAAAAAGCTTCATTCCTTTCCTCTGCCATGATTCTCGGTGGTTTTATGAAAAACAATCAACCATAAATAAGTTTTACATACCCATTAAACGAACACTTGGTATTTACATTATTCTACCTCCTTAACATGACCGAATTATATAACCTTATTTACAGTGAATTATTGTTCGCCATTCTTGAGCAATTAAGGCAAATAGGTGTTATAAAGTTATACCTATTGTCCAGTTTAATATATTTGTATAAAGTTTATTGTTTTCCCAGAATGTACGTGAAAGTGAGGGATGGGTCTGGTCAATGCGCTGAAATTTAGATGGCGGTTGGCAATTCTGAAGTTATTAAATGATTTCGTGAACCGTATTTGGATACCATTGAATTTGAGTTAAAATACATGCTGTGAATGTTAATAAGATAACGCGAACGCTATAGTGGAATGGATAATTCAATGTAAACAATCAAGATTTAGATTGCAGACTCTTTGCACAAAAGCAAAAATGATAGCAAAATTATTTGGCAGAAATACCTTCATTTTGGTAATAAGCTATAGA